GCCCAGCTCCCCTCTGGCCCCGGCCCAGCCCCGGCTCCGAGCCTTAGACCTGCAGACGCGGCCTCGGACAGCACCGGGCTGGGAGGGCTTCATCTGCTCCCTCAGAACTTTGCTTCTCGGCAGAATGGTGCTTTTTGAGTAAGATGCGAGGGAGAGGAAAACAGGAAGGGGCGAGGGGTCAGAGTGGCCAGTCTGGCGGCTCCCGGCGCTCCATGTGGCCGTGCAGCCCCCGAGGTGACCCCGGCGTGTGCGCTCCGTTCCAGGCCACAAGCCCGAGGCTGCTGGTGCCCGGGAAAGCTCTGGAGGCTTTGCGTTCTCGCCAGTCTTAGGTGGCAGAGGACGCCGTCGTGTTGGGCTCCCCATTATGTGGATGGGGATGCTGAGGTTCAGGGGGACCCCTCACGGCCCCCTCTGTTGAGTTTTGAGGTGCTAAGAAGTACGTTTGAGTCTGGGTATGGGCGTGAATGTGTCTGTGAGGAGCGGTTAGGAGGCAGGAACGCTGCAGTGGTGTCTGAGGTCGCGCTCGTCTTCCCCCTGGGTGACAGCCGCTGCCCACCCGCCTCCCCGGTCCTGGCCTCTCTCCTGGAGAGCCAAACCAGAGAGCCTTTTCAGGGTCTCTTGCGGTATGCGTCTGAGAGCCTCTGTCTGCCGTCTTCTCTGTGAGTTGGGATGGAGTCCTGAGGCTGCCCTGGTGCGTGCAGTCAGGACGCCCGGGTTAGCGAGGGCTGGAGAACGGAGCGTTTCTTGCTGGGCCCTACGGTCCAGTGCGGAGGAGGTGAGGCTCAGTGCGAGCCAGGGAGGCCCTGCTCAGGCTCCGGCCTAGGTCGAGGGATGGAATGCGCCGTTCTCAGAGCCCACGGGCTGCACATGCCCTGGACCCCCGTCCTCTGCGCGACAGAGGGGGAAGGATGCCCTCAGGCGCTGGAGCTCTGTGGAGCTGAGGTGGCCCTTGGCGCTCACCGGACGCTGAGCGAGCGCAGGTCTCCTCCGAGCGGGCGTCCGGAGCCAGGTCTGTGGACCCCAGGGGCGGGCAGCTGCCTTCCCACCCAGGTCCCTAATGCTGTGTTGACGCCCACACTGTCCACGTCACCCGGGAAACCTCCTGAGATCCCGAGCGTCACTCCCCATTCTGGGGGGTTCGTGCCAGACTTGAGTTTAAGCTCCCTGACACACTTGTTTTGGAAAACCCTGGGATTGCATGTAGAAACCTTTCGTTGTACTTTAGGGTCTTCCTTGGCTGCGTTGAGGGCATCACGGTGCTCAGTAGCGATGTCTCGGTCACAGGCAGCCGCCACACAGGCCCTGGAGGTGCTGGACTCAAATCACAGGCTCCTCTCCCCCTGGTAACCACACCCATACGTCTTTGTTCTATGTAGTAAAGTTTAAAACTCTACTTTTATAACTTATTAAAATGTCTGTGTTTTTGCAAACCATGACTGTGTTGTTTGTCAGGTTTACTGTGCCCGTCCGCATCCCCAGCAAAACCGGGGCAGGAGGGAAGGGTGCGTTGCCTTCTCAAGGGAGGGAACCCCGGGATCCTCTGAGGAGCATGCGTGTGGCTGCTCGGCTGGGGCCCTGTGGGGCACCGGGACCCCGAAGGACGCCACCTCAGCATGGGCCCCTCAGTGCCTCCCTGCAACCCTCTCTCCTGGGATTAGGCTTCCGGAAACCCTACACAGCGAGTTAAATCTGAATTTCAGGGAAACTGCGAACACTTTCATAGTGTGACGATGAGACATATTTATGCTGAAAATGATTTGTTTTTCTGAAATTCAAATGTAACAGAGTCCTATATTTTTGTTTGCTACATCTGGTCACCCAGTGGATAAGCAGCATGGCGGTTTAAAGAAAAGTGCCTTCTCTCCGGCCCTCGCATGAGTTTGGCAGGTGTTGGAGAAGGGAGGGGTACTGAGCGAGAGAGAAGATCTCTTCCATTTCTGTAAGAATCCCACAGGTGTCACACCTGCTGTGTCAAGTTTGCTGACTTGTTAAATACTTCCTATCGTAATAATGTTTTCTTCTTTAAAATATAGTTCCCACTAATTGTGGATTTTAGTGCTTCTATTTCTATGAAAGCTTTATCATTTTTGCCCTTTTATAAAAGCAGGCTAATTTACAATTGAGGGCCATATTTAGGAGGACATACAAAATTCTAACTATTGTGAATTTTTGATGATATCGTCCTTGTACCTTTATAAACTGACCTATTTTATTTCCCGAAATAGCTCGTCTTGCATCTTCCCCTGTGACATTAGTAGGGCTGCATCCACTTTCTTTCATTTGCGGGTTGCACGACATAACTTCTACCTTACTTTTATGTTTTCTATGGCCTTTGTGTTTGTATTCTGTAAACATACAATTTTTACTAAGTCTAACATTTTTTAACCTCTTAATTGGCCCATTTACTTCACTGCATTTAATGTCACTGCTGACACCAGTGCCCTCCTATCTCCCTTCTGAACCACTTATCCTAACTCCTGTGTTCTTTTCCTCTTTCTCTTGCCTTCCTTTGGGCTGGGTGCTTTTTTCTCATTCCACTGTAACCCTGTGTTATATAAAACTACCTATTCCTTTTCTGTTTTGCTAGTGAGTGTTTAAGAAACTCAACGTATACCTTTGACTTACCAAAATCTGTTACTGCCCTGAAATAGACCTTTTCTCAAACAATGCAATTCTTTAAAACAGTGCTCTCAACAAATTCACACTTCACTGTGGACTAATGAAAAGAAAACAATAGAAAAAACAAAAAAGCAGACATACAAAATACTCAACTTCAAAAGTATTTTGAAGGAGTAAGTGACGTACAATAAACCATACATATTCAGTCTATAATTGACCAGTTTTGAAATATGTAATAAATAGGAAACCATTCCCACTGTCAAGAGAGAGAACATAGTCATCAGGTCCCTAGATTTCTTTCGGCCTCTTTGAAACCTCTCTCACTTCCACTCCTGTTTCCAGGCAACCACTGGTCTGATTTGTATCACTAGGAATCAACATTTTGTGCAGATTTTGTTACTAGTGTGTGTTTGCAGGTGTGATGACGGCATTCACTGTAGGGAGTTGGTACATGTGTACAAATCATCTCAGTACTTTTTTTTCATTCCTTTACTCTCTTCTCCCTCCCACTTTTCATAACACCTCCCTCATTTGAAAAAGATCTCCTGGGATTCCTATTATCTACCTTTTATTTTTCTCTTTATATTGGCCTCCTCATATAAGAGAAACTATGTGATATTTAAGCTTATGTGTCTGATTTCACAATATTATGGTCTCAAGATACATCCTTTTTCCCATGAATACTTAAGTATATCTTTCTCTGTGACAGAATAGTACTCCATTGTATCTACAAACCACATTTTCTTTATCCATTCATCTGTTGATACATATAGGCCATTTGCAAGATTTAGCTATTATGAATTGTGCTGCTATAATCTTTGTTTCCTAGAATTCCGTTTAAGATGGAATTATGCTGGGTGTCATGGTGCATGGTAATCCTCGCATTCTGACAGGCTGATGCAGGAGGGTTGAAAGTTCAAGGTCAGCTGGGCAACTTAGAGATGGGGGAGAGAAAGAGGAAAGAAATGGTATCTGTTCTATAGGACTGATTATTTTTAGATTCATATATGTTATTGAGTATATCGGTAGTTCATTCCCTTTATTATGAGTAGTATTCCATGGTATGGATATACTGTGATGTGTTTATCTGTAAACCCTCAGGTTCTGAATCTTACAAATAAAGATCTATGAATATTTATGGTTTCCTTGGGTGAGAACTGAAAGTAGAACGGCGAGACCATGCCGCTGGTGGATGTTTAACTTCTTAAGGAACTGCCAGATTGTTCTGTGTGTCGCCTGATCTTCCCACCACAGTGTATGTGAACTCCATTTCCTGTGATTATCACCAGTACTTAGTATGGTCAGTCCTTTCCATTTTAAATAGCTTTATAGATGTGTAATGATATCTCGTTAGAGTTTTATCTTGCATTTCCTTACTAAAACCTGATATTAACCATCTTTCCATGTCCTTATTT